ATGAACCCCAGACCAACCAAACGTTCCCCGCTTCCTCCGCCGTCGCCAACAGCAGTATGTGTGTGTGTCCCGCCCCCCTTGTCCATGTTCTCTGTCTCTGTGTAGTGCGTGTCTTGCCAGTAGCAGCAGCAGTGTGTGCAGCACGGCAGTGCGTCGTGGTTTCTTGCGTGCGTGTAGTTTGTTGCCTCAAAAAAAACAAAAATGACGCCTCCCGGGGATGCGTCCAAGTGACATGTATATTTGCACAAACGGTGTGCTATCTCGAGACACCGACCACGGATTGCAAAGGTAGCGGTTGGGACAGCTCGGGCAAAATGTTACTTGTTATGCGCAAGTTTTAGTTTGCAATTTGGTGCCGAGATGGTGAAATGGGCTCGAGTCTGCTGGGTATTTAGGGCGCGCAGACACCAGACACCAGACAGACACCAGACAGACAGCCATCGCGTAATTTTCACGCCCCTGTGCATGAAAATTATTCTTTTTATCGTGCGCACATACTCACCACACGATCCCTCTAAACAGCTTTTCTTTTGCAAAAGAAAAAGCGTACCCCTATACGGGTCACTCTTTTCACAAAAAAAACTATTATAAATACTTGAACACATCCCTTCTATTATTGGGGTAGTATCCCGACCAGGCATTGTAGCTTGTCCGAAAATCCACATCTTGTCAAAAAAGCCGCTAGCCAACAGCGGGAATAAACCGTCGTTAACCAAGGCCTCCCCGTAGGCGACACACACACAAAAAAATCATCGTACAACAGCAAAAACGTTTACGTAGTCTCTCCTCTTGATTATATGAAGGATAGACCTATACACGAAGTTCCTGCGGGCTGAGGGTGCACCAGGTTGCAGGATTGCCAAATCCTGATGCTGTTCGTGGCTCTAGAGCTTAACTTTCGCGGCTCCTCCGTCCGCCGAAGTGTATTTCCTACAAAATCAGCTACACATAGCTTACCGGATGCTGCTGCCCCCGCCGCCGCCCAGCTCCGAACAGCTTGGACGATTTCCGCGATATGCTCGGCGGAGGCCGGCTGCGGCACCGCGGGCGGTTCAACGAATACCGCCGCCCTTCTCCGGACGGCGTCGGCCTCCGCCCGGGGCCAGAGCGCGTGCGTGCTCGCCGCGCTCCTCGTCGCGACGGCCGTCTCGCCCGGCGCTGCCGCCGTCTTTGGCGGCCGCGGTGGTGGCAACGAGAACGAGAAAGAGAAAAATACGGAAAGGCGAGAAAGAGAAAACAGACATGTTAGAAGGCAGTCTTCGTGCCTCTGGAGTGGGCTCACTACAAGCAGTAGCTAGCGTCATCAGGGCGCGATGCGAGACGAAAGCAAAGCGTGTGATGGTGTGGACCAGCAGCTGCCAGCTGCCTGCCATCAGTGAGACGTGCTACTGACTCAAAAGAGCCCAGCGAACCACAACGAACAAAAGAGAACAAGATAAAAAAAAGTCTGTGTGCAGTCATATGTCGACGCATTTATCATTGTGGAGAGGTAACAAGAGTCACGCGGGGGGGCTTGTGGACAGGTACAGCTCAAGCACGAGGGACACACCTGCACACACGGAGCCCCCGGCGAGAGGGGGGTGCATTAGTTGTCGTGCGAGACAGGGTGGCACGTACGAAATTCCTCGACAAGGCGTGCCCCGACATGTCCGGGCGTGCCGCGCGCACATCTAACTCAACATACTTCTTGGCTCAAAACGAGAAGATGCTGATGATGAATTAGAGCGAGTCTGAAGTGCGTGTGTCTTGTGTGTTGGCATAAACCGCGCCAAGAACACGTCAACGCCGCCACGAAAAACAAAGGGAGAATAAGGACGAAAAAAAGACAAGGGAGCGCCTACCACATACAGCAATGGCGAATACGGGCGCCACCCCCAACGATACCCAAAGCCTAACATCTCGGCCAACTACAAAAAAAAAAACGAGACAAGCAGCAGCATCCCAAAAGAGTCTCGTCCCGGTAACCCACATTTGACCATGGAGAGCTCCCAATCCCGGCGAGACCCCCAGACGCTTCAGCGGAAGCAGCAGCGGCGGCGGCGGCCGCCGCCGCTGCGGCAGCAGCTGCGACACCGCTACCAGACGCCGCCGCCGCAGCAGCAGCTCCGGGGGCGAAAAAGTTGGCGTCTGCTGCAGCCCAGTGCCACTTCTCTCCCGCCGGCATTGCCAACGCAGTCGGCGATAACGCCCCCTCCGGTCTCACCGATCCCCTCAAAGACGACGACGGCCGGCCCCCGGCGCCGCCGCCACCGCCGGGCGGCGACACGCGCTGGAGGTTATACACGAGGGTGAGCAGGTTTCCCTCGGTGACGAGGGAGAGCTGGCGCTCGCAGTCCGTGTAGAAGGCCACGTAGTACATGCTGGGGCCTGGATAAAAGATGCGCGCGTGTGTGTTGCTTGTATGTCAAGATCGGCCGCGCTACTGCTGTTTGTGCCCGGTTGGCTGACGAGAGTCCGTCTCTACATGCTGGGGGCTGGGTATTCGTGTGTATGATGCGTATCGACCGCGCTACTGCTGTGTCCATCTGGCTTTGAAAATCAGTCAGCCCCTCCAAAGGACACACACAAGACAGACGTTAAAAAAGTACACACACACAACCCAAGACGCATTTTGCACATAGAATTGGAGTCAACATCAAGCACTACAACTTGCGAACACGGGCGAAAGGCAAGTGAAGATTAGCATATTAGTGCACGGAAAAGTACCGTCGAACACGAACTTGCAATTTAGTTTCTTGAGGAAGTACTTCTTCAGTCATGTCGGACACGTTCAGCCCTACATAAAGCAGCGGCAGTCACAACACACCCTGTGTACTCCTGTGAGAGGGCTGAGCAGCAATTCTTGTCCACTTCCAACCCACCTGAAAAAGAAACGCTACGCCCACCCTTGCCGTCATCCTCGGACGCGGTAGACCCGTTCCCAGCGTCGGCCAATGGGGATCGAGATGACTCCGGCGGCGATAATGACGGGTCGAAAACCGTGAACACGCCTCCTTGCACTACGGAGGGCATCTGAAACATGAGCGTCGCGAAGACCCCCGGGGACTCGTCGCACTCACGGCCCTCGCTGGATTTCGGAGTCGATGTTGTTTTTGCCGAACGTGTGTTTCGAGTTCAAGAGAGGGAGGGGTGGGGGGGATGAGGAGAAGAAAGTACCATGGATGAGAAACAGTTGAGGGGTGTCCCCACAGCCCAAAACGAGAGGGGGCAGTCGCAAAGAGGCAGGGGACAGAAGCAAGTTTGCCAGTGATACCCTTCCGTGGAAGATTGTACAATGCACGTACATCTCAGCACGCCCAACAGAAGTCCCATGTATCCTTGTAATGACACCGGGGAGAGCTCTATAAGAGGCGCTTCGTTCCACGGATAGAAAACAAAAAACACCCAATGCACAGAGCTTTTCCCCATCTGCGTGGACCCTTATCGGAGCTCTTCGCTCAGAGATGAAAAAAACTGTAACCATAGAGTCCGTCCGGTTAGATTTTGCCACCATCCCCCAGCATCCAGCCGGAATATCTTTTGAACGACTGACGTACCCCCTGGTGACATATGTTATGTCGTAGGAAAGCTCTGTTTCGAGTGAATCATTTGATCGAAGCACTTTTTGTTTTTCGTTTTGGTTGGAGAGAAAATCGCGATTCCGTCGAGGTTTTGGCAATGATCCACTGGATTTTCATGGTCGAGGGTGGGGTCAATTTTTTTTTGTCAGACCGGTTTTGAATGTATCACGCCGAGGAGCTTCTAGCGATCCACCCAGATGTTTTTTCGCCAATTTTCCATGGAGAAATGAGCCAAGAGGCTTCTTTCAAGCGACTCCAGGAGGTGGATTTATTTGGAGTTTTGCATGGTAGATTTTGAAAAACTCAACGGGTTCAGGCGAATTGGACCTGCGCCCCGGACAGTTTTTTTTTCTTTCAGATTTTTTGTTCTGAGCGAGATGTGGCCTCTCAAAGGTTCGGTGTGCGCACACACGACACACGACACATACCACACACCAAGCCCTCGTGATATAGGAGTACCACCTGCACCACGAGGACACACCGAAGCCCACGACAAGCCTACCCATGGCTGGACGGCCCCCCGGCAAAAAAACAAGGAGCGCGGCGCCTTCAAAACCAGAACAGCTGGCCGGTTTGGGCCAAAAGTCGCGCCTCCACCAGAACCACTCGCTGCAGACACTTCACCACAACATGACATGGACACATATTATCGGGGAGACGAGGAGGACAACAACAGCAGCAGCAGTGAACACAGCAGTGACAGCAGTGACCACGGCAGCAGCAGCCCAGAAGATGTCACGTACGACGGCAAGAGCAGAAGGCAGATGAATCGTGTCGAGGAGCTCTTCGAGGCTGCTGGGCACGTGTGCATCTTCCTTGCGAAGTGAGATTAAATGGTGTAGGTTCATTTACTCTCTGAGATCATCGTTTGGAAGGCTTGTGCATACAATTGTAGGAGGCCCTCGAATGCAAATATTGCGAAGATCTCCCAAGATGGTGATGTGCTTTGTACTCCTCTCCGCTGTTACGTGCTGTCTGCAGGTATCACCCTGAGTGCAATTCTATCGAGCGTTTCTTGGGGTACACCAAGGCTATCGAGCGCCGCGTCTGCGATTACTCCATCCAGAGTCTGCTAGCCAGGTTTCCCATCACGCTGAGCACCGGCTCTCTGGCACTGTGTCGGAAGTGGGCCCCCGGGTCCTGGCTGTACATCGATGCCTACAGCTGCGGGCTTGAGGGCTACTTGCAAACCCGGGAACTGAGGAAGTGGACAAACCACCGCTCGCCCACTGATGCGGCCGACAACGTGTTGCTGGCTCGTGGCCAAGCGACAACCCTGGAGGAGCGCAAGGCCAAAGAGTTGGCCGTCCTTGCCTCGGCAAAGGAGGCCAGATGTGCTTCTAACGAGGCTATCGATGAGATGATGAACAAGCTCAAGGCCGCATGACTCATCGCCACATGAGCGGAGAGTTGAGAGCAGTAGTGTCGCTGCGGATTAACTGATAAATAGATTTGAGACATGATAGATATATCGCAGCTGAGAGAGGGGTGGGTGTCTTGCGTGTAGATGAACGAAACGAGGCTGCATCCGAGGCGTTGTGTTGCAACAGCACTTGTTCTTGGTTTTAGAACTATTGTCGGGGCGAGGGTGATAGCACAGGCAGTGTGGTTAGGAAGACAGACCTCCGATCGTAATATCGGGGCGAGCAAAATACATGCTGTTTCGGGACAACTACACGGTCGATTCGGGTTAATTATGTGCCTTTTCGGGGGGTACACTCGGGGTAATTTTTCAAAAGATTGCCATTTTTCCACGATTTTTCTTTTGACACCGGATATCGATGCCTTTCGGCCCTGCGGTTCGTGTCAACTTTATTTCGCGTGTTAACTCTCAAAATTGAGCGAGAACAAGTGGTGCGGTGGTGGCGCTATTTAACCAGACGGACTATACCATAGGTAGAAACTGCGGTAAGTTGAGGCAAATACACTGACCGAACAAAAAAGCAACAGGGTTACCTGACAGGAACAAAAACAACAGGGGGGGGCAACGCGACGTAGGTCACCTTTGACATCGGAACCGAAAAACAAAAAAATCATCTCAGTGCTGTTGCGACCCCCACCTGTAGAAGCAGTCTTCCTCGCAAAGAAGCATCTCGCTCAGGGACGCTTCCACCTCCCACTCCCCGAATCCCAGCGCCTCCTTGACCTGCAGCGGTGCAGGAGAGCACACGGGGGGAAGCGCGGCGGCTTTGTTCGATCGTTCAGGCTGATCGAGAACTACCCATCCCCTAAACAGCTACAGCATTGATCGTCAATCGTGCCCCTTAGGACGGGCTATCTCTCCATGCCCTGGAGGGAAATATGGGACACTTCCCAAAAAGAGTAGGACAAGATACGATCCGAGCGGAGAATCTTTGCTGGTCGTTGAACAGCACAAGCCTTGGTATCGACACAAGTACAGCCGTGGTGGGCCCTCAACAACGCCGGCATGGGCCCGGCGAATCGACCGGCGCTATTCTAAGGTTCCGGCGCTATTCAAAGGACAGAATGGCTTAGTGATTCAGTCTGTGCCCAGTAATTTCACGGGAGCTATACGTGGCCACCGGTGTTATTCAACCGGCGTTGTTGAGGGTGTCTTTCCCTGTTGGCCAATCACCGCCTGTACCCCGGTACCCCCAACCCAACTTTGGTTGGGAAAACGACACAACAGGGCACACCCTGGTCGAAAAGCGACTCAGCAGGGTACGTAGTATTCGGCAGCGTGAAATGAACCCAGATGATTAGTCAACTCCCACTTTCGCCCCGCCGCGTCGTAAAAAGGGCGGGTACACGTGGCAGCATTTCTCCAGAATTGTACCCTGATGTCGGATATGTACTCTTCGGGTCCATTTTATTTGAGTGTACCTCGTCTGGGGTAAGTTTGCCTGTGACCACGGGAATCGACCGGCAACGTGTTTGATCAGTACGGACAGATGAAGGTACAGTACTGGGTAGAGAGATCGGAACGGTTTTGAATATGAAAACAACAACAAAGGATTACTTTGGAAGATACGGTTAAGGAAAGGGCCTCATTTCCCGTCAGGTCCGAGGGCATGTTCCCGAAATCAGGGTACGATTCTGGAGAAAACTAGTTAATAGCGACGGCAGGGTATACCCCGCGCTTTTGAGGACGCGGCGGGGTGCAAGTGGGCGTTGACCAATCATCTGTGTTCATTTCGTCCTGGGAATACACTGTTGTGTCGTTCCCCACTTAGGTATTTCAGGGCCTCCTTTTGGGTGAATTCGCGTTAAAACAGGGCCTTATAATGGTAGCACACGATGTGCCCCCTATATGCGGCCGGATTGCCAAAAATATTTTGCGGTTGTATCCCGTGAGGGGGGGGGAGGGGCGGGCGGGTAGGTGTGCGGGATAGCTTTTTTGGGAACCCGTGACGGGTATGTAAACTATTGCGTGGTGCACATGTACACATATATTGTACAGCGGTGGTAACTAGATCTGAGAGCAGTTCATGTTTTGGGCTCATGCTAACCAGCAACAATATTACCACGGGGTGAGATGATTGTGGGGGAATAATGTTCGTTGCCCCTTGTGCTTGTGTGTCATCTGAGTGTCGTATAGATAGTATGCATCTCCTAGGAAAAATACATGACCGCAGAAAGACTACTCGTTTGAAAAAGTGCACCAAGTAGCCAAGGGCATGTGTTGAGTCTTGCAGCAGCGAGTTGAGGAAACCGGCTGGGTTCTGGGCATATTTCGAGTCAGTCACTGCTGATTTATACCAGTGATATGGACCAGCTGGTGCTACATATGTAAGCACAAGAACGTCTGCTTGTAGGGAACACATTTTGAGATTTTTTTGAAAAAGTATGCACAGAACCAAAGAAAAAGTACCCGTTCGAGATACAACATACACAAAACTGTAGCAGTCGAGGGGGATGTGCTCCAAGCCTTTTCAGTCAGTGGAGGGAAAGCGGCTGAAAACTGGGCTTACTTTCCGTTTGTGTTAAGCCCATACACTGAATCGTACTTCGCTATTGCATAAGAACAAGCGCATCGGATATTTAGGAAGGCAACACACATTTTACACAACACACATTTTACACAACACACATTTTACACAACGTCGCGTGTAGTTCTCTACTGTAGTTCTCTACAAGTCAACGGCAAAAAACATTTTACAATACATCCCCTGTATTATCTACTGGGTCAAGGCAACACTATCGGGGAGAAGCCCTCCGTTATGTACGTACAGTATTTATAACATGGCAGTTCAAATGTAGCCATGGAATTGTAGACCTCACTTTTCTCCTGACAACAGGTGCGCCGAGCGGACTATCATAACACGATTCCTCCGGCGGTGAAGATAACATCAGCCCAGCGGCGACGCGGAGAAAACATCAGCCGGGCGTCTCTTGTGGTACACGTAGCAGTGTCGTTATGCCGGGATTTTTTTTTTTAATGGCTGCCCGGGGACACGTTTTGCCAAAAATCAGAACGCCTTGCGAACCATCACCAAACAATAGGGCCACACTACACGCCTCGATATGGCACTTTGTTGTTGGTAGACATCTCAACGCAAAGAGCTTGAACCCCAGGTGCCACTTCGAGTGTGCCAGCTGTAGGTGCGAGACAAGAGATTGTTCATTGTGACAGTAGCCGAACCGCTGTCGTCAATTGATGTCAGGCCCCACACATCTCTCCACTCTGACTCGCCATCGTTTTCTCTCTTTTTTTTTTCCTTCCCCCCTGGGGCTGCCACACCCCTTTCGATGTCTCTNCATCTCAACGCAAAGAGCTTGAACCCCAGGTGCCACTTCGAGTGTGCCAGCTGTAGGTGCGAGACAAGAGATTGTTCATTGTGACAGTAGCCGAACCGCTGTCGTCAATTGATGTCAGGCCCCACACATCTCTCCACTCTGACTCGCCATCGTTTTCTCTCTTTTTTTTTTCCTTCCCCCCTGGGGCTGCCACACCCCTTTCGATGTCTCTGGATCGCGGAGCCCCTGGAGAAGATCCTTGGTATTAGAACGGGAGGAGGGCCCAGATCCACCTTTCATGTTTGCCGATATCTTCATCCAGGAGGAAAGAACCCCTAATATCATGGGTGCTACAGAAAGCCAACAACACCAGCTTGTGCGTCCACCGTTTGGATCAGTTCGCACGGGTCGGCGTCAATTTGGTACGCGTCCTCCAAATCCGTCTGTTCAACCACATCTGCTCCAAGTCTCAGCGTGTGTGTGACCCACTTAACAAGCACAGACCTGCGAAACACTGGCGGAAAACTGCTATATAGCGTCTGGTATGATGTGTAAGTACTGTGTGGTCTTGTTCCAGCAGCCTACACAGACCCAGGGTGGCGTCAGGTGGGTGTAAGTGCGCCATACCGCTTGCCCGGGGACGATATGGAAAAAGTCCCACATCGGAAAAAAGCCTGATTACTGGGACAGTAATTCTCCAACGCTATTTTCCCGACCCGGGACGCCACACACCTGATCGACTTCTTAAGTCGCGAGGGAAGGGATTGCTGTACCCTTCTCGCGATAAAAACATCTCAGGCAGGAACCGCAGGAGGGGGTCCAACCCCCCCCTCCTATGTGACCCCGGTTGGGTCGTCTAGCTGGTAGAAGTGGAGGATAGGGGCCAGAGAGGCAGACGACAGAATCCAATGATGGGAGAAAACACACACACACACACCCTCTTTTCCTTTCGTCTCTTCAGCGGGGAGGACTTATCAGGACTATAGCTACGCAGAGGTGCCTTCATAGTTGACGGTCGTGGGCGGTGACGGTGCCGGAAAACGTCGACAAATATATGGTATATAAAAAAATCCCGGCATAACGACACCGGTAGTACGTGAGTTCAGACCTAACCGCTGTTCTCGCCCCCCGACACCCGCCTTGAGTGCTGGACTACCCGTCCGTGTATGTGGTGTGCGTTGGTCGGGTGGGTCGTCACTGCATCAGTGCTGCTGCCGTAGAACGGCGTCACTAGTCTGTCTTTTTTCTTTTTTTTTTTTACTTCAAATCAGGGCTTACAGCATTGGCAGCACTGGTGCCGTTCTCTCCAACCCATGGTCATACAGTAGAACCCCTCTCTACCCTCCCCTCCTGCGATGCTTTACCCTCGTTTTATTAATGCGAGAAAACTTCAGAACTGTTCCCTCGGTGTACACACGAACTAACGCTGTCCGCTAGGTCAGGAGCGGAAGCAAAAGAAAAACTCGCTTTGCAAGAAAAGCTCGCTTGAGCCGGGATTCGAACCCATGACCTGCGCTCTAGTGTCGGAGACACCAACTAGACCACCAGGGCGACCGGTCTGCAACGCGTGGAACGTGTAGACTAATAGAACATAATTACATCAAGGCCCACGTAAGTTACAGCTCTTCATTGACAAAATGTGATATAGAGGATGGTTAGTACGGTGTTTCGACGCTTGCTTTGCTCCCCGCTTGAAAAAGCTCCCGCGACCCCAACACCGGCTGTTGAGAGCATCCCACACAAAGCGTCTACTATTGCTGTTGTACCATCCAGTGTGGAGGTGGAGAGACGAGACTCCTGTGGGTCCCAACTCCCAACTTGGCCCCAACACATTTTCGAGAACCCGACGGTGTTCGGATCATCTGCTGCCATCTTCCGTGCCTGCCCCCCATGATTGCATCATGCCCCATAAAATAGCGCGAGGGGACTCTGCGCAAAGACACACACCGACCTCGCCGACCCCCGCCCCCACCGGACATGCATACCTGGGCAACCACGGGGGCCACGACTCCGGTGGACCACGCCTTGTGGTTTACGATTTTGAAATCAACATCCGGCCGCACCGCCCAAGGCAGCCTCTTCTCCGGGACTCCGTCCACGTTGACGTCCCGCTCCTGCCCGGCGTTGACCTGGGCCGCCTTCAGCTTCTCGGCCTGCCGCCCGCCCAGGGGAAGCGTCAGGGAGGCGGACATCGCCTTGTGCTTTATTCTCGGCATGCAGGCTTGCGGCATGGATGGGTCAGGCTTGCGGGGGTCGATGGTCCTCCCCGTCGCGAATTTCCCGGCGGAGACCAAGTTATTCGACAGCAGCTCGCTGAGCCGTAGCCTGGCGGGGTTGCTCGCCCGCTGCGGGCGGCGCCGTCGTTTCGACGCGGAAGAAGCCTGCATAACAGCCTGCGCGTCTTGCGGCGGGGAAAGGCCATCGTCTTCTCTGTTGACGCCGTCCCCACTCATGAAAGGGTCAACCGCAGCACCACCGGAAGTGTTGTGAGCTATGAGTCGCTCCGCACTGCTGCTGCCTCGGCTGCTGCTGCTGTTGTTGGCGATTGTTGCTGCTGCTACTGCTGCTGCTGCTGCTGGGTGTGATGGCTCCTGCCGGTCACGTCTCGATCCCCGCTGTGCCATGCACGCCAGCTCCTTCCTGTGTGCCTGTGCTTATCTATCTATCTCGTCGTCGGTGGATCACTACTCCGTGTGTGAACCCCGCCTCTCCTTCGCGGGACCGTCAACGCCACTGCTTCTTCAGCTGTAGGGTCTGTCGTGCCAAATTTTACTCCTTTTTTTTCCTGTGGAAAAATCGGAAATCTGCGAGACTTGGAGACTGGCAGAACAAAACCTGTGGGCCAATCACCGATCACAGAACTTTATACCCCCTGTTTACTGGTAGGGTACCGGCGCTTCTCCGCGGCCCGGAGAGTTGTGCACTTTGGGGCGGGCTCCTTCGCATCTATCTGCTGATTAGATGCATATATGAACCTGCTTATTTCCCATTTCCGTTGAGTCGGACGAACTACGAAGGGGCAGAGGTCAAGCCCGCGGGTAGCTTGTCATACACGAAGCACGGATGCTGTTACTCTTTTCTGTACTGTTGTTGTTTGTTGTTGTTTGTTGTTTCTCACATTCTCCCTTCTTCCCCTCGCTCCTCGACAAGCTTTTGCTTAGACATGGGTTGTAG